CAGTAAAAAAATAATGCACACCTGCATGTTGTTCTCGTAACTTTAGAGGAAGAAAACCATGACAGACATCTTTAAACTGAAAGAATAATAATAATAATAATAATAATAATAATAATAATAATAATAAGATGAGGGGAGTGGTGGGGAAGGGATGGACAGTGAGATGGTTGAGGGCGTTTTCTGAGGGTGGCCGTCAATGAGGTGGGTAGGGCTTAGCAATGCCCGCCTGTCTGCTGCTGGAAAACATCTATGGTGTCTTCATCTTCCATTTCCAGCTAAGAAAAAGATGTTCCATATATTAATTATTTTACAGTATTGCAAACATATTCAATTTATTTAGAGGACAAGTGCGCTGTAATCTTAAAGAAACAGAATGTGTTTCAATAATGGTTTCAAGTGCATAATAATCATACCTGTGCAGGCGTATCCGTCTCATTGATCGGCTGGCCATCAAACCTGAACCTGATCTGCCTTATTGAGAGACCCTGCAGATGAAGATGCCGCATTTTCGTTAAAAGAACGGCAAAGTTAAGTGTGCAAGTAATCATGCTGCTTAAGAACTTACAGCAGCTTACCTGTCGTTCACAGTATGCCTTCATTAGTTTACTGAGAGGTGTGTGCCTTTTTATTTTAAACTGAACCACCGACCCATCCTGCCCTGCAACCTTGAGGTTGATGTGGTCATTCTCAGTCTTTACTCCTTCCTGTAGAAACACAATGGTTTAACACTTGATAAACAAATGGATTAGCAACCACAGTAATGCATAGTACGTATACGTTTTCTTTAAAGCGACATACACAATACTGTTAGCCTTGCTAGCTCAGACATACAGAAAGTAAACTAATAGGCATATAATCCCACAATTTTAACAGCCGTGTCACAAAACACAGATGTGACTTGTGTTGAATTACTGCCATACTATTCAATTGATGCTTTGATTAAAACAAAACGTACATTGGAGCTCAATAACACAGACATGCTACCATATGCGTTCACACAAGGCACTCACAGGCGCTAACGTTAGCATCATTAGCTCCGGGCTAGGCTCAGAACCACTGGCGAGTTTAGCTACCGGCTAACGCCGCTAGCAGTTTTGTTATGAAGTATTGTGGTACAACAAGCAGCACAACGAAAAAAAAATTAAAACAAATAAAATTAAAAACTATCAGAATACCATAGTCACATCAGTTTTTAAGGCAGTGCGTCACCTCCATTTGCGCTCTTCTGCCACTGCTGCAGTTGCGGCATTTGCGGCGTTGCGGACATAGCGTGGTCCCGTTTCGACAAAGAAAAAAATCCGCAAATGACAATCATGGTGTAATTGACATTCCTGCTCCCAACCTTTTAGACCCTAGTTAGCGGGACAACATCCTTCCCAAACTCACCTACAGCGCGCTGTGTGAGCGCATATAGACGCACATATGAATGTGCGGGTACTCATTCATTTGCGAAACAAACACTGCGCCGATTCAGAGAAACGTGCAAACCAGGCCATTTTTAGATTGCACATATAAGCGACGGTTTCGCAGGAGCTCGCCTCAGCCATCATAACAAGCGAGCAGTTATATAAACCTCTATATATTACCTTTGGCTTTTCCTCTGACATCTCGGCAGGATTTCGCGTTGCAGTTTACAGAATGATCTGCTAGTTCGGCTTTATTTGTCTTTCTGCCGCCTTCTGTCCTCTCCTCTGCCCTGCTAACGGGTGCGCGCTTCAGACCGCTGCTGCAAATAAGCCATTGGCCCTTAAAACACCACGTGGTTGCCAAATCGCGGGAGCGCGCGTCTATGCAAAAAAACTCGATCACGCGAGGAATCTATATGAAAATCTCTTATTGTGCGCACAAATTAAACTAAATAACGAGTCACCTGTAAATGATAGCTATTGAAGTTCTGTAGTTTAATTTGCATTCATTTAAAAGGTTTTGTTTCCATCTTAGTTTAGTTTAGACCAGACTTCAGAATGGGAAAGCTCTTTAATGTTTAAATATCCTAGTGTATTATTATTGTCATTTTTAATAATACTTTGACTCTTTTAATGTAATTATATGTTTTAAGAAGTTTAGAAATACAGTAGTGGTCATAAGTTCTAATACACTCATTATGGGCATGAAAGTCATGATAATTTGGGGCTTGTATGTGTACTTTTGACACTGCGTGGATTAGATAAAATCCAAAATAAATTCAAACTTGTTTTTTTGAAGTTATTAAAGATGTATGCTGTACAATCACTCCACCATGAAAAACGAACAGATTGCCATGCTATTACTCCCCAGGATGAGTAGACATAAACTTCTGACGAAATTCTAGTACAATTAGGGTAGTCAGATTGTAGCAAACTACATAAAGAAAGGGGCAATGTGTGGGGCAATGTGGAAAGTACTGGTAACGTTGGTATAGCAAATTTTTATATGTTTAACATTAAAAACATAAAAACTATGCAAGTCCCTCACTGGTTTGGCATTGATTCCCAGCTTCCTGGCAAAGTTAATACAACACAGATAAATAGAAACTGAAGTTTATTTTATGGTCTAACCTTTAACTCTCATTTCATCTGATTTTCTCTGCTTATTTTGTTTGGCATAAGTACTGCATCCATAGTTCACATTTCTTTATGAGCTGTGCTGACTTAAGAGCCAACTAATATGTGGGACATTGAGTCAACTAGTGCATGCCCATGCTACAGTGTAATTGTCCCTTTTGACAGTATAATCGTGGCCTTACTTTAACCCACTTACTTGGTATATATGTGTTACTAATAAGTTCTTTAGTTACAGGTAGTCTCACTGCGATGGAGATCTTTTTCAAGAGGGAAAGGAATACATACAAGAGCACTCACAAAATCTAGTGTAATAAATCTAGTGTAGTATATTAATCTTTTTGTGTTTTTGCGTTTTGAAGTTATATAATGTTGTACTGAAAAAATAACGTTTTAAAGAGCTCAAACAAAGAAAGTGCTTATATCCCCCAATGACTAATATATCACTTTAAGGAGATGATCCAATGGAAACTAAAGCTTTTTCCTAATTTGTGTGACCCTGAACTTTGACCTATGGCCTTGAAGATATTCTAAAATATATACCAAACATAAATACCACATTACAGTGGTGTATTTGATTATTTTTACCCATATGACTGGAGCAGAATTGACTGAAATCTTTGGCTTCTATAAGTTAAGTTTAAGTTAAATTCGTGCAGTCTGTGACTTTGTGACTTTATGGTGTCATTGTGATGTCGAATTGAAAAAACAAGAGCATTTGGAGAGTGCAACTCACCCTGAAGGGCAAGGACTATACTTTTTTTACTATACTAAAAAAAATAGATGTTTTGTGATGTTTTTATTATAACATGCTGACATCAGCCTGCTTTTATTACAGTGCAGCGACCTCACCCTGCTTTTATAAAGACATCCTAATGTCTGACCTTTGATCTATGTCCTTGAAGCATTGAATACTAAAATAGTCTGTTTTATTATCTTTACCTATATGATTGCAGTACAACTGACTAAAATTTCTGGCTTCTATAAGCTAAAAAAAACCTTGAGATTTAAAAATATTTTCATTTTCAGTGGGTGATTTTGCAAAACTTTATGCTGTCACTGTAACACTGTAGGGCATGGTATTTGGGGGAGGCCCGGGGTGGGGTGGTAGGTTGTACTGCTCTCAATGGCCTTTTATATGATATACTACTATGATATTACTCGATATTGTTTTTTTGAAAAACTTTTCTGGGTCAACTTTACCTTTGGGTGCTGACAATGAAGGTCAAGGTCAAATGCTTAGCTAACCTAGGCTTGCATATTTTTGTAAAGACAACCTGTTAAAAAAAATAAGGTAATATGAAGAGCAATATAAAGATTTTATTGATTTTGGCATGACCTTGACGTGACCTGATTTTTTTGTAAATTAAATCAGCTCCAGCTGTTACTGGCATACCATCACACAAAATATGAAAATGATACCTTGAAAACTGTGGACTCAAGATTGCTAACAAACAGACAGACAAACAAACAGAACCATGACACGGCCAGGAGAAAAATCCAGACAGACACTTAACATGAAATCAAAAAATGCAGTTTCACAATTTTTGTTTTCTTTGTAGCTCATTTCATAGGCAGCAAGGTATTCAAATCCAGTTTCTCCAAGACCAGTGTGAATGAGAGGTGCAGCTAAAATGTCTTTCAACCTTCTAAATAAATAAATCCCACTCCTTCATATAAGATACAACGGTGAGTAAGTGTGATACACAGAAGCAAGAGGCTTCTGGGGAGACGGAGAAGCATACATATAAACACTGTCACCATAATCAGACGCAGACAAAACTCTGGATGTTCACTGTGTACAGTGACGGTAATTCAGAGTGCACCTGTCCCTCCTCAAAAGCAGACTCGTGAAAATTCCATACAGGTGCTGGAAAGCCGAGTCCATTTGTCTTTCGGGAAGCATTGAGCACTTGCAGTCTATAATGTTCACGGCGCCATGGTCTGTCGTTTTCTGACGGCCTTTCTCTGTCCACGCTGGTTTCTCGCAGTCTGCGCAAAGCTTTTGCGGACCGGGCATGGTCCAAGCGATGCAGCTTTTCCTCACTGGTTTCGCGCAGTCTCCGTGAAGCCTGAACCAGTCGATTATTTTGCAGGCGATGCTCGCTCTCTAAGTTGTTTTCTCGCTGTCTCCGTGAAGCCTTAGCCAGTCGATTATTTTGCAGGCGATGCTCCCTCTCCGAACTGGTTTCTCTCAGTCTGCGCAAAGCTTGAGCGGACCGAGCATGGTCCAATCGACGCTGCCTTTCTTCGCTGGTTTCTCGCTGCCTCCGTGAAGCTTGAGCCAGTCTGGCATTTTGCAGCCGAAGCCGTCTTTCCTCGCTGGTTTCTCGCTGTCTTCGTGATGCATGAGCCAATCTGTCATTTTCTAAGCGATGCTGTCTCTCTTCGCTGGTTTCGTGCAATCTCCGTGAAGCTTGCCCCAGCCGCTTATTTTCCAGGCGATGCTCCCTCTCCAAGCTGGTTTCACGCCGTCTTCTGGAAGCCTTAGCCAGGCGGTCATTTTGCAGACGTTGCAGCCTTTCCAAACTGGTTTCCCGCTGTCTTCGCGAAGCTTGAGCCGACCGGGCATGGTACAATCGACGTTGCCTTTCTTCGCTGGTTTCGCGCTGTCTCCGCGAAGCCTGGGCCAGTCTGGCATTTTCCAGGCGAAGTCGTCTTTTTTCGCTGCTCTCGCGCCGTCTCCGCGAAGCTTGGGCTTCTCTGGCGTTTTCTAAACGACGCTGTCTCTCTTCGCTGGTTTCTCGCTGTCTTCGTGCAGCTTCTGCTAATCTGGCGTTTTCCAGTCTAGATTCTCTTTGATGCTGAGATTCAGTGGCCCTGATTTTCTTCTTCCGCATGGCATCCTTACTGCTGCGGCAAGAGCCTTTCCTTTTTCTAGGCATTGTGATGTGACCCTCTCAAGGCCCCTTGACACAGGAAGCGACATGCGCTGCACTGACCGCTGGCTGGAGCGAATTTTTTGCGCTGGCCGCTGCTGCGCTCTGCCGGTACGTCATTTTTTGCGCCCGCTCTACGTTTACTAGATGCGTCTGCTGCTTGTCAATGGAAACAATGCGTCTCTCATCTACAAAGGAGAAGGCATTGGCGTTGAAGTAACCGTACTAGTGAAGAAGAATGTGCTCAATGACCTTAACTGCACACATGCCTGCAACAAATCTGTGTGTGTGTGTGTGTGTGTGTGTGTGTGTGTTCGTCTGTGAACTACTACTCAATCAGGAGTTTGATAACACACACACGACTCAGGGCCCCAAAAGTTCTTATCTATATCAGATGTCATGAGGTCATCATATTGCCTAGCAACAGACTAACAGTGAACCCATTTTCCTTGGAAGAAAAATATAAAGCAGGAGTGGCTATAGACTTTTGCGCAGTATTCATAACATAAATGCTAAAAATTGGGGGTTTTAGCTTGTTGGTATATCACCATCAAGTTTGACTGCTTTTGGTGGAGTTTGCAGACAAACAGATTTGGTATAAGATACATAAAACAATGGGGCAAGGGATACAAGTGCTTTGCAGATACCATTAAAAAGTGGAATACCTGGTCAGCCTAATTAAAGTGAAGATCCAGACTTTGCCAGTACATCAGGTCCTCTGTGCCTCTTCCTTGTTTTTTATTTTACATTTTATTTCACTTGATTTAAATAGTCGATACGTTCATAGTTTTTCACGTTTTGAAATATAGTTTTTAGCATTTGTTTGTGTTTGTTCACAGTAATTCAAAAACTAAAGCTAAAAGTTAGAAAAAGTATCAGTTTGTATGTGAATGTATGCAATCCTAGCCATTTAAGAGCAATGAAAAATGTCATGGCTTTCATAGCAGGTTTTGGTAAACTTACAAGGGACCCACACATTACATCGACTGGTGGAGGTCACGTTTCAAAAGGAACATAAAGGTCAGATCATGAGGAACTTGAGGAACAACCTTGATCATACTGAAAATCGGGCGACAATGCTTAAGAGTGTCTTGAAACCAAGTTAAAGGAATTCTGTCAAGAGTGTTAAAAAAATCTATCCAGAAATATGCCAGAAGCTTGTTGATGGATACCAAAAGTGTCTGATTGACGTGCAAGTTACTAAGGCAGATTTAAACAAATAGTGTGGGTCTATGTATACCATATGTATACGTGGTACAAAGTCCTAACTCGTGGTGAGCATACGTAATCTTCTGACTACAACTGAAGATCATTGGGGGGTTTTTTTCTTTTAAGGAATAACACATCTTTTAATCAAATGTTTGATTTATTGACAAACTGTACAAAACATACAGTATATCATAAAGGTAGGTTAACATGAAAGCTCAACAGGAAATAAACATAAACAGTGTTACTATCAGAATTAGTGATCAGTCTGAAATCTTTTATTTATGAGTTCTTTCGTTATGTTAATTTTGACCTCATATTCAGAATATATTCTGCAAATGTGATTGGTTTAAAATTCGTTGTCAACAGTAGGAAACATCAGCCGTAACACAGTAATTAGATTTCAGAATGGGGAAAAAAAAACATTTAAAACAAGATAAAATAAAGTAAAAAAAAAAAAATCTCAGCAGCAAAAACAATGTGAAAATGTACAATTACAACAGAAGCTAAAGGAAAGAATATTCCAGCAGCCAGACTGGACTCCTTCCATTCAGTACCATTAAACTAAATACCCAAATAAATAGTAGATTAGCAGATTAGTATCTTGAGTCACAGGATAAATGACAAGTGTTTGGAAAAATACCGACACTACATATCTCTTCTAGCATTTAGTTACAGCCTCTTGGGTCATTTCAGTAAATGTAGGATTCTTTGAATGCTTCATTGACCAAATGACCCTGATCTATTTAAACTACTTTTCTTACATTTGATTTTTATATCAATTACAACAATTCTCCAATCATGTCACTTCAAGACAGCTCATGGATGTCCTCTGTCCGCAGTTAATAATCTCAGTTGACAAATCCATTTCAAGAAAATCTGGAGTATGGGTTTTGTCCACTTAGACCTGAAAAACATTAAACAATCAGTAAGAGTTGCCCTGATTTAAATAAATCGTTTGATATATTCACGCAAAATGGTAAATATGAAGTCAGTGCCAGATTACGGTGAACGTAGCTTAGCACGGACAGGAGTAAATGGCTAGCCTCGCACTGTATTGTATCATAGCTAAATAAAAACTTATCAGCCTCTCTTAAACTTTTATATTTAGCTTTATGGTATACACCCATCAGCCATAACATTACAATGACCTTAGCAGGAACCTTTAGGTTGTAGGTTGGACCTCCATGGATCAGACTCCAGGAGGTGCTCTTGCAG